TAGTTAAACAATCTGATAAACAAGTAATGTTCAGTATAGGAACCTAGACACGGGACGATTTTGTACATTATTTAGAACTAGGAATTTCTAAATTGCTTTAATCCCGTTAACCATTATTTTAACCGAATCGCTTTCAGTTGTTCAACTATTCTTATGTTTTTTTTCATTTAAATATTGGAAGATGTTTGCGTTGCGTGCCCCCTGTAAAGAAAGTGGTCAAAAATGGAACAATACAATAAAATACTTTGGAGAAAACTTCCTTATTGGATTATTCCTGCCAAATCTTCTAGCCAAAGTTTCCGTCGTAAACATTCTATGCGTGGTTGCACTTGGAACAAGTCTTACAACATTTAATGCTCTATCAAGTTATGGTCTTATCTCACTCTTACCTTGGTTTTCAAAAAAATCAACTGTGACATTATCAATAGTGAGTTATATTCGAGTTATAGGGCTGGTAGCTACAATTATTGATGTAATACCCGACAACACAGGAGACAAAGGACTGCTTGTTCTTCCTATGGTGTTTATCTACCTTGCCACTCTATTGGTGTTGAATGGTTTTGTATCCGTTGTCAAAGTCAAGGAAGAGGACACTGCACTGGACAGACCTTTGCAGACTACAGGGCAAGACAAGGAGCAAGACAAGGATATCAACGATTCAACTATAAACTCCAAAATTAATAAAGTTGTAATCTTTGCCATCTACACTGATGAAATGTCAGTCAAAAATGAACAATTGTGAACAGAACCAAAACTTCTAGGAACTGTAAAAATATTTTATAAAAAAAGGATGATTTTTAATGTACATGACTAACCTATCCCTGTTTGCGGGTTTTACTGAGAAAGTGTACGGCACGTGATGGTGAATTGACGAACTGCCTTGGCATCATTCCCTTTCACAAGTGTGAATGTATTTGACCACCATGAACGTGTACCATGGTACAAAACATTTATAAAAACCTAACTTGTAGATATAGTCACGGAGATATGTAGACAGTGTTGAGCTTTATTCACCCCGGCCCCTTATCATTGGACGTGTTGGGGAAAGCAGTGCCGGAATAAGTCCAGAAATAAGTATTTATTCTAGTAGTTGACGTAATAAAAAAACATAATAACTTTCACTTTTGATGTTATATGTAGATATTGAAGAGTGGTAAATATAAGATTACCTTCATTCTGCGTGTTTTTAACCTGGTTTTCAACAAATATAAGTATAGGTTTCTATGATGAATGCTTGTTTATTGAAATGCTACAGTTTGTCGAATATTTGCCCTATATGTGATAAAATGAATATATACTTTACTGAAAAGTTGAGCTCGTATATATACTCAAGGTGAAAAAGTCAATAGATAAAATTTAGGAGATTGGAAAGTTGTACTTCGCCTATAAATCATAAATGTATAGACCCATTTTGCTTACATTACTAACATACTATATAGTGCGTAAATAGACGCATCAATCGTTGCATTTTCAATCGTTACATTTAACCTACATACTTTTATACTCCCACGACTAAACGCTTTAATAATAATGAAAACTTTATTGAATTTTTTACGTATATATATACAATTGTAAATCTCACTACTGACTTAGGTAATTTACAATTGACTACATGAATCACAGAGTACTACATATGTACTATTTACAGTAAAAATAATAATAATAATAATAAATAATGTAAACACATTTTATTTCATTTCATACAAATATTAGTAACCAGCTCTCACTAAAGTATTATAGGCAACCTGGCTACATTATGGTACAAAAGATTAAGAAAAGAATACAATGTTAAACTAAGCTTAAAATATTTACAAATCATCAAAATGGAATTTCTACAGAAATGCTATTACAATGGTTATTTTAAAATACGTTCGTAAGGTAACAACGTAGACAGTGTCAAATAAGATAACTGTACGTACAGATGACAGCATGAATCCTACCAATATAAAAGTTCAGGGCAAGACCATTGTCTGTTTCTAGAGCAAAATATATAATAGCTTGTCCTTATGCAGCAGCCGGTTAGTTTTCTAATGATGAATTTTCTTTGCATATCGCTTAATTTACTTCGCGGTCCAAAAAGTCATAGAACTGTTTACATTCATGACTTAAAACTCCAATCGCGCCCATGCATAAGTTAAAATACGTTACTTTGTTAAATCGTTCTCTTAAAAAGTTACAAATATCCTTGTAACGTTCCCTTTTCCTTAAACAGTTTTTTGCCATATTAGTTTCAAAGCCGATTGTCAATTCAATAACATATATATTTTGGTTGTTGTCTGATATTTATTACCAAGTCTGGTCGGTCATTACAGCCTGTGATCACAGATGGATTATCAAAACCAGAAATGTCTGCATAAACGTGAAAGTCCCTTCTGACACTAGATATGTACGTTGCTAGGTGTTTCAGCACTGAATTGTGTCTCCATGTGTATCGACCTTCGTCCAGGGATGTTTTGCAAGAAGACACTATATGTTGTAGTGTTTGCACATTCAAGCAGAAATGACACAGATTATTTTGAGCTTTCTTCCACAAATAATAATAATAATAATAATAATAATAATAATAATGATTTATTAGCGATTCCAAATTGATTTGGCTCTTCTATCACTAAATTAACTAATCTATATTAACAAATACTATATTTACAATTAGTAGCTATGAAGAGTTAATACATCTATACCGTACATTCACACAGTCACAGTACATATTTCACGGCCCGGCCCGAGCCTCTCGTGGGCCAAGTCTGTCAGATTTTCACACTTGTTCTAAAAATGTTGAAATCTTTGCAATTTCGCAAACTATCTGGCAGAGAGCTAAATGCAGCTGCAACACTGTACTGAAATGTTCCACTTTCGGTTGGCACTTCAAGTTGGATTTGTGATGATGATCGTAGAGTTGGTCCTGGTACATAGTGATCTACCTTAATATATTCAGACCAATTATTAAAGTACAAAGCTTTAAATGCAGATAGAAGCACTTGAAACTGTCTTCGCTCAGCTACTGGGAGCCAACACCATTGTAGGGAACCTGCTTCTCTTGCGTAACATCCTAATACGAAACTTGCGCATACGTTACGCTTACGTTACGCTTTATCTAATACCTAGCGTATCAGCAGCTTTCCTATTGGCTATACGAGGAGGTGCGTTCAATCTCGAACCCACCTGCTGACATATGTTTAGGAGGTGGGTTCTATAACAAGCATGTTTGCAGGGAGGTGAGTTCGGGATTGGACGCACCGAGGGTGGCTGGAAGTTTCCCGGTTTAATCACATATAAAATACGACGCGTAGCGGAGTGTTTTATATGTGATAAAACACGACTACAAGTGCTTTAAATGGCTTCAAAAACGACTTAACTTATACGAGTTCATTGGCGAAGTAATTTTTAAAATAAACTTTGTCTAAACCGAGAAAATCAAAGCTAATTTTATATTAAAGTTTATGTAAATTAACATGATTTTTATCACATATAAAACCACGACACGCTTATGATTTTTCTTTGTGTTTTCCTCCTGAATTATTAATGAGTTTTTGAAAAATATAGCCTATATATAGGCTACTGATGAAAATTGTGTTGGTTGAATTTATTATATACTGCACTGCTTTATTTGTTATACAGGGTGTATAAAAAACCGGTAATCAAAATTTAGCGCGCTATTGTACCTGAATTACACTGCGTATGAACGAGATTTTTTCTTATTCGGAAAGATCAGGCTTTTATAGCTGTTGAATAATATGTTCCTCATGCCAAATCACAAATGGATAACAAATGAGCAAATACGAATCCGATAAAAAAATGTTAGTGAGAATCGCATATTTTCACTGTTGCATGAGAGTTGGATCTAAAACCATTGAAAATTAACCATAGATATCTTATATACGCTAGATAGCGCATCTCTTTTAGTAAAATTGAAGCCAAGAATATTCCAGCGGGCTACCCCCATTTGAATAGATGGCGGCCATGTTGGTAGTTCCCACTCGCTAATAAACGCTTAAAAAACAACAATAACTTTCATCATTTGAATAGTTTAGAAATGTATTTGGAATAGGTTTAACACTTTAACTTAATGTTTAAGTTCCCTGTTTAAGAAATAGAAAACATACGAATCTTCTCATTTCATGGGAATATCCTGAGTCTGCAATCACGGCTTCAATTTTTGAATTGCAGAATAATTCAGATGCACTATCTAGTGTATATAAGATATCTATGAAATTAACTCCC